CTCCATCGGAGTCCCACACAGCTTGCATTCAGCCATGCCGCTCCGCTCCAACAGCTTCGAGGCGTACGCGCTCTGACCGAGCGTGAGTGCCTCCTTTCCCTGTCACACCTCGATGTCGAGGTAGTAGGAGAGCGCACCGAGATCGCTCATTCGAAAACATGCCGCCATCTCGCGCTTGAAGCTGTCGATGTCCTCCGCACGCGCGCCGGTGACGATCAAGTCATCCACATACACACCGACGATGAGCTCCTCCTTCCCCCATCGCCGCGTGTAGGGCACGTGCTCGGTTCGCACTGTGTGAACTCAAGCTCGCCCAGCGTGGCGTCAAGCTTGGAGTTCCACGCTCTCGAGGCCTGCCGCAGCCCGTAGAGCGCCTTGCGCAGTCGGAGCACCCTGTGCTCCACTCCCTTGACGGCGAAACCCGGAGGTTGCCTGACGAAGACCGTCTCCGCCAGCTCACCGTTGAGGAAGGCCGATTTTACGTCCAGATGATGGATGTGCCAATCCTTTGCTGCTGCCAAAGCCAGTAGCAGTCGGACCAACTCCATGCACGCTACCGGAGCAAAGACTTCCTCGAAGTCGATGCCCTCGCGCTGGACACAGCCTCGGGCGACGAGGTGTGCCTTGTGCTTGACAATGGCGCCGTGCTCGTCCCGCTTGACCTTGTACACCCACTTCAAACCGATCGGACGGCATCCTGGAGGTGGATCAACGAGCTCCCAAATCTCATTTTCCTCGATCGCCTTCATCTCCTTCAGCATCGCCCGTCGCCAATTTGAATCACGCTCGGCTAGCGCGAACATGGGTGGTTCCTCTGCACTGACGAGCAGTAGCTCAGGGTCATTGAGCAGCCGACCCGCCAGGCCTGAGGGCCCCGTGCCGCCGACAATATCGTCCAGCCTACGGAACCGCACCTTCTCACCGTCGTGGAAGGCATCCACAAACTCAGTGATGTCAATTGGAGGTGAGACGAACTCGATCAGCCTTGATGGAGTTCCCTGTTTCGCTGTAGTGCTCAGCACCCCGGATGTAGTGCTCGGCACTACTCCTGGACAGCTCGTCACAACTCCTACAGTGCTCGGCACCACTATAGGAGTGCTCAGCCTCAGTCTTAGACTGGTCAGCACCACTACAAGACCTCTTGGCTCCGGTACGAGAGTGCTCGGCACCCGTCCTGGAGTGGTTGCCACCACTACAAGACCTCCTGGCTCCGCTCCTGGAGTGCTCGGCATCCCTCCCGGAGTGCTCGGCTCTATCACTGGAGTGTTTGGCACCTCTTCCCTAGCATCTCCACCACCATGGATGACTAAGTGCTCGGCGACGAAGGTGCTGGTGAAGCCGCCAACTTCCAACGTGCTCAAACTGTTCTAGTCCCAAGCCACCATCTCATCGAACACGACGTCGCGCGAGACAAGCACCTTGCCTCTACGTGGGTCGTAGAGCCTGTACGCCTTGGTACCTTCCGCGTAGCCTAGGAACACCATCGGTGTGTTCTTGTCCTCCAGCTTGGTGAGGACCGGCTTCGTCTTCCTAACATAGCCGATGCAGCCGAATGTTCGGAGGAAGGACACGCTCGGCTTGCACCCATACAAAGCTTCGAACGGCGTCTTGCCCTTCAGGGCCTTGGTGGACGCGCGGTTGAGGATACCGCCGTGGTCACCGGCTCGCCCTAGAACCTTGCCGGCATACCCTTGGCCTTCATCATGGACCGAGCCATGCCGACCACCATCTGGTTTCACCGCTCCACCATGCCATTCTGCTATGGCGAGTACTGCGCGGTGTGGTGGCGTACCACACCCTGCTCCACGCAGTACTCAGCGAACTCCACCAAAGTGAATTCACCACCGCGATCAGTCCTCAGCACGCGCAGCTTCTTGCCGTTGTCCGCCTCTGCGCGTGTCTTGAACTTCTTGATCGCCGGCGCTGCCTCGTCCTTGCTCGTCAGGAGTTGTAGCCACATGTAGCGACTACAATCATCCACGAGCAGGAGGAAGTACCGCCGACCACCGTTTGTGGCTGGCGTGATTGGCCCACAGAGGTCGTCGTGGACGAGCTCAAGAGCTTCCACCGCGCGATACTTGGCCGCCTTTGGGAACAGAAGCCTCCTCTGCTTCCTGGCCAGGCAGCTGTCACACAGCTCGCCTGCATGCTCGATGTGAGGCAGCCCTCGGACCATCTTCTCCAGCCGACCAAGCGCGTCGAAGCTGAGATGGCCAAACCTGGCATGCCATATCCACGGCTCCTCGGTGTGCCGTGCCGCTAAGCACATCGGCTGCTCCACCTTTAAGTCGAGAAGGCATAGCTGGTTATGGGACCTTTTCACCTTGGCAAGAAGGCAATGTTCCCGATCCCTAATCCTGAGGACCCCGTCCTTGATCAGGATCTCGCTACCACGCTCATCTAGCCGGCCAATGCTAATGATGCTTGAACGCAGCTGCGGGATGTAATATACATCCGTCAGCGTGCGGTGTTTGCTGTCCTGGCACCTGAAGATGATGGTGCCATGCCCTCCGATAGCCACCCTTGAGACGTCACCGAACTTCACCGTGCCGGTCACGTCGTCGTCGAGCTCGGAGAAGGCTTCATTGGAGCCCATCATGTGGTTGCTGGCGCTAGAGTCCGGGTACCACCGCTGCTCCTGTTCGCCACTCCCATGTTCAAGGTGGACTTGGGCATGCGGATCATTGAGGTGGACAGCCTTCAGAGCCTTCCCAGGCCCTTCCACCACCATCACTTCTTCCTTCTCCTCGGCCTCAACATCGTGCAGTGCACAGAACGTTGCCATCAGGATAGTGGCCTCATCCTCATCATCAGCCTACGCCAGATGAGCCTCAGCCTTCTTCTCCTGCTTGCGGTTTGGGCACTCCCGTGCCCAATGGCTGGTCTTCCCGCAGCGCCGACAGGCGTTGGGATCGACCTTCTTCTTCTCCGAAGAAGCCTTGCCACAGCGCTTGCCATTGCCACCGTGGATGGAGGAGGCTTTCCCGGAGTTCCTTCGGGTAGCCCACTCCTCCTCTGTCAGCAGGAGCTTGCCGCTATCCTTCGTTGTTGCTACCTGCTCTAGGCGCTCGTTCACCGCCCACAACCGACCAATCACATCCTTAATGCTGAGGGTGGATAGGTCCAGCATCATCTCTATGGAGAGCGATCTGGATGTACTTCACCGGTATGGAGTGGAGGTACTTGGAGACCGCCTCTTCTTCGTCGATGGTGATGCCGTGGCTCTTCAGCTTGCTGATGAGTGTCTGCAGGCGGAGGGAGAAGACCTCCACCGTTTCACCATCCTTGAACTTGAGGAGGGCGTACTCCTGCTTTAGCAGCTGGGTCGTTGCCTTCTTTGCGCGGTTGGAACTGACGTGCATCGCCGCAATGGCCTCCCATGCCTCCTTAGCAAAGTTCTTCGCCCCCAATGGCTCCCTATACTCTGGTGGTACAGCAGCGAGGATAGCCTCCAACGCTGACATGTCGTCTTCTTCGTTGTCGGTGCCCTTGTCAATAGCATTCCAGAGCCATCAGGCTCTGAACTTGACCTTCATGGTCACCGACCACTCGCCATAGTTGGTGCGAGTCAGCGTCGGCCAACTGGTACCGCTGACCTCCTGCACCGTGCGTATAACGACCTCCTGTCGTGGTTGGGTCGCCACAGCAGCACCGCTGCTGTTGCCTATCTCCAAACCGTTCGTCATCGCCAGCGGTTAGTCCGGCGACGGTGCTTGTACGGCTTCGATACCACTTGTTGGCCCACTAGATCTCCGGTAAGGAGATAGCTGACCACTAACTAGTGTTGCTGCCGAGCACACACTAGCTATGCCGACCATGACAGTATCGTTGCCGACCACGCACTGGGTCTTTCGACCACACACTATGGAACCGAGGTAGAAGAAGGGAGGGAGAACAGAGTACACACTAAGCACAAGCACTAGCGTTGGCCAAAACTCTGCGGATGAGATGGCAAACTGAACTCGCTCTCTTTAATAAGTTGCAGTGGCAAACTATATATACAACTCTACCTATCTAATCCCAGTACACAGACATATCAGGCTGCCATGCTGCTACAGTGACTAGATGTGACAGCAGGGCTGACTTTGGCGCCTGCCCCTGCTGCGGCTACAGTGCAGCAGGTGAGCCTTTCGGCGCCTGCCCCTGCAGTGCTATAGTGTCACAGCAGGGAGCTTTTGGCGCCTGCCCCCTACTGTGCGTTCACACAGGGATGCAGCAGATTATCTAACAGAACCCAGTTCCAGAACCAATCATGATGATGGACAGTATCCAGTGGCTTGATCTCAGTGGAAATAGGCTGTCTGGCACCATTCCCTCGAATGCTGCAATCCTGAAGAATGTTGAAATCATATACCTTGACAACAACCAATTTTCTGGCTCCATTCCTAGCAGCATCGGTAATCTCACCAAACTAGAGATCCTAATATTATGTGATAACCAGTTCACATCTACCATACCACCGAGCTTGTTTCGTCTTGATAGGCTCCTCGGAATAGATCTATCTCAAAACTTGTTAAGTGGTGCATTACCAATTGATATAAGTTTGAAGCAAATGAACATGATGGATTTGTCTACCAACCACTTAGTTGGTAGCCTGCCAGATTCACTTGGGTAGCTTCAGATGATGAGCCACCTGAACCTATCACTCAATTCGTTTCATGACCCGATCCCACCCTCTTTTGAGAAGCTAAGAAGCTTGCAAACTTTGGACCTGTCCCATAACAATATCTCTGGAGCCATCCCAAAGTAACTTTACCATATTCACTAGTTTGAATTTGTCCTTCAATAAGCTTCAAGGTCACATACCAGAAGGAGGTGTCTTCTCAAATATCACGCGGCGATCCTTGGAGGGGAACCCAGGGCTATGTGGCGCTTTACGCTTAGGGTTTTCTCCATGCCCAAGCAAAACATTTACTCATTGGGGCTATGCTCACATTCTAAAATATTTAGTCCCCACAATCATCATATCTGTTGGAGCTGTAGCTTTCTGCCTATGTGTAATGCTTAAGAAAGTTAAGAAGCGTCAAGGGAATTCTGCTGGTATGGTTGACATGGTTAATCATCAATTAGTCTCCTACCATGAACTCGTTCGTGCTACCGAAAATTTCAGTGATGCTAACATGTTGGGGTCTGGAAGCTTTGGGAAAGTTTTTAAGGGCCAGCTGAGCAATGGTCCGGTGGTTGCCATAAAAGTTATACACATGCATATGGAACAAGCTATTGCAAGGTTTGATGCAAAGTGTTGTGTGCTTCGAATGGCTCGACATCGCAACCTGATAAAGATATTGAACACCTGCTCCAATCTAGACTTCAGAGCACTGGTGCTTGAGTACATGCCCAATGGGAGCTTAGAGGAGCTCTTACACTCCAACGGAAGAATACAATTGCGGTTCATAGAGAGGCTAGACATCATGCTACATGTGTCTATGGCAATGGAGTATCTACACCATGAGCATTGCAAGGTGGTCCTACACTGCGACTTGAAGCCTACCAACGTGCTATTTGATGAGGACATGACTGCGCATGTGGCGGATTTTGGCATTGCGACGATTTTGCTTGGTGATGAAAATTCCATGAGCTCCGCAAGCATGCCTGGAACAATTGGATACATGGCACCAAGTACGCCAGTACCTATTTTACTCCTTTTACATGTGGAATTTCATTGTGGCTTCTGCGTCAAAGGGACTAGCTACCAAATTTCTATATTAAGTGGACTAAATGCCCAATTAGTAGAAACAATAACATAGCCAAGTAAGATAAACTTCCAGCTTGCACAGATCCTATTGTTAAATCTCCATCGATGTGAGGCAAACACCTATATGATAGCCTTCTCTAACATATGAATCGATCCAATAGTTAGGATGCCATTCCCTACATTTGTTAGCAAATAATGCGAATAAAGATCGAACACGAGACACAGATTTTTACGTGGAAAACCCTTGCGGGAAAAAGCACGGACACCAACTGGCAATCTTCACTATATGATGAGAGTTTACAGAACACAGGGAATACAATGAGTTGTCTCAACTCTTCCCATGCGACTTACAAGATGTATTTATAGGATGGACTGACTACAGTCAAATACGAAAACAAATCCGCTAATAAGGAAACATAACTTGAACCGCGGGTCCTCCAGGCATCCCCGCAAGACTCACGTTAGAATTCGGATCATATTCCAACAACATTGAAGTAAGAACCAAAAATGCAACCAATTGAAGCCCATGAAAAGACCACCTGCAAGGGATGACAATGCCATTTCATTTTAACCATAAAACTCAACAGATAAGTAGTATCAAACAAAAAAAATGTTTTTTACTCACCTACATCAATTCCTATTGGCCAATTCCCAAATAGAACAAAAATACTACTCTGAGGGTCTGTCAAACCCAATTCTCAAACCTATGGAAAATACTCAGTACCTCTTCCACAGCTGTTGAATCCAGTTGATTAATCAATAACCATCCAGCATTAAGTCGTCTCACTATTTAATCACGTGGCATATAAGTGATGCTATTGTTCCATCTTTTTTATTTATCTTTTGTGCGTATGAATTTCATGGATAGAGTATGGCTCTGTTGGAAAAGCTTCACGGAAGAGCGACGTGTTTAGCTATGGGATCATGCTGCTTGAAGTCTTTACTGGGAAGAGACCCACAGATGCTATGTTTGTTGGTGAACTGAGCCTCCGGCATTGGGTCCATCAGGCATTTCCTGAAGGGCTTGTCCAGGTCGTGGATGGTCGTATTCTCCTTGATGATGCTACTGCTACCAGCAGCCTGAATGGCTTTCTTGTGGCAGTGATGGTGCTGGGTTTGCTCTGCTCGGCTGACTCGCCGGACCAAAGAATGACAATGAAGGATGTGGTGGTGACACTAAAGAAGGTCAAGAAGGATTACATCAAGGTGGTCGCAATGAGGCCGAGTGCTATCGAGCACCCAGCAGTGATCGATTAGTCAATGCTTATGACGAATCAGCACGTCATATGTTCTCTGTCTGCACCGCGAATCAAATAAGAATAGCATCAAGAGGATTGTCTATTTGGTGAACATTCACTTCTTTGTTATACGATATATAGAGTGAAGGTTTCCCAAACTGAAATTAGTGGATTGCTGGTTTGCCAATAAGCCCTTAGTGGGTCGTAAAATCATAATCAAATTTTTACTGTATGTGTTTTTATGACTATTTAGTTACTGTTTTTGCAATGTTTCCTTAGTGCCTAGAATCGATTAGCCTAAGGCTTGTTTTTAATTTTATAGGGTATAAGTTGCATTTTAGTAATACTGTACATAATAACATTGTCTAAAACCCAATAACAGGGCTCCTGTTTCGCGGGGCCGCGGAGGCAGTGATGATACTCCGCCATGTCGTGGGAGAGCAGCCGGCCGGCGAGCAATGTCCTCGCGGCGCTCAGCCCCTCAGAGCCTCAGACAGGTGGCCCCGTGGGTACGGTGCTGCCGCGCCGGATGAATAATTTCAGTGATGCGGATGCGAATGCGGATTGTGGACAAAGAAGGAAAATCTCCATGGGAAATGGGCCGTTTCTGTTGCCCAGTGGATTTAGGCTCTCGAAATGTGCCGAAGGACATGTGAGCCCAATTGGTTCACAAACGAACGATCGGATGTGTATTGGGCTCCGACAAAAAGAAATGTGTATTGGACATCAGAGCTATCATGAGTTCATGACGACTCTCATCTCAGGAGGTAAAGATACTGGTGGACCCGGTCTTGTTTTACAAAGGCTGACAGAATAAATAACTGAGGTCCAACACTCTTGGGATCACAGGTTTTATAGGCATTGAATTTTTGCGAGGTGTCATGCGCACCTCGCCAGCAACGGACACACAGAAAGTATAATTAGCTGAAAAAAAATATGAGCATAAACGCAAACATGTGTGTTGGGTTCGAAACTCAAATCTGAATAGATAGGTTCTAGCTAATAGTAGTACATAATAAGAAACCTAATGCTGGTTAGTTGGTTTAACTTCCTCTCGGTGGATGACTTGGATTAGAATCTTGCACTGCACTTTATCCTGCCTATAGGCTACAGCTAGTTTTACTGAAAGTAGTATTACTTTGCCGTCCACGCCCAACTATCGCTTCTGTAGCTTGGAAGCCAATTATTCTTGGATACGCCGCAATGATGATGAATGCTGTCCACTCCAAGGATCACCCTGCTCCTCTACAAGATCAACAAGTCCTCAAGCTTGGCTCAATGAGCTGGCTAGATCACAAGATGCTTCTCTAAGCCTCATATCAACTAGAGTGGTTCTCTTCGTCTCTACAGCTAGGATGAACCCAATAGTCCCTAACAATCACCTCTGAAGCATATCACATCTCCAATTGAGTGTTTCACGGAGTATCTGCTAACCCAATCCATCTAGGTGGCCGTAATTATCAAGAGTAACAAAAAAACCGTAGCTTAAGGTCACCGTATTCTAAAGTGATCATCTCTATTAATCGACTATTTACATAGATGATTGGCTTAAAACGTAAATGATTTGCCTAGACCTGCCTCGTTATTTTTAGATGCGCCCACCTGAAATCGCAGTCTCTGTTAACTAGCTAGATTAATTGTGTCTCCTGAAATTTTTACTTATTCATGATTGCATTGATCGGCAAAATAGGAATGGTGTGGTGTTCAAGTCATCATGATCATCACGTGCTACTGCTAGTAGTGGATCTGTTTAGCCTTTTAGTTGGGAGGTGTGGTCAGTTCGTTAATCTTCCTCGGCCTGGATAACTTCGATTGGAATCTTTGTTTGGTACAATGGTACTAGTTTCCAGCTACTACCACCTTCGGTACTAGCTAGGCTGTAGCTTGAAAGCTAAATCTTGGATACGCCAATAATGATGTGATTTGATGAACTTTCTCATTGATTATACCACATATAATTGCACCTTCGAGTGGCAACATTCTTTTTTTTAATTTAGAAAATGACCTTTTCTTCACATGACAATATGGACATGTGTAAACTAGGCGTATATAGCCGGTCTGTTCGCTGATTGGTTTATGGACTGATAAGCCCGGCTGATGCTGGTTGATTGTGAGAAAAAAACACTGTTGGCTGACTGATAAGACCTGTCTAAAACCAACGAACGAACAGGCCGGCTCAGCTTGGTGTGGCAACGTACTACGACGCCGAACTAGCTCCTATCAAATAATGGAATTGCATTATTTATAGCTGCTGATAAGTCTTGCTGGCATGCCTCAGTTCCATATACACATGCACTGCACATAGGTACAGTATATATATGTACCGAAGATTCTAAGGTGACAACGACATGGCTTATCTCTATGACAGGAGTATATGGGACCTGTTGAACATGAAAGCGTGTAGGGTTAGAGTTAATCAGGCAATGAATATTTTCATTAACCACACCGGCAGAGTACACGTTACAATGAAAGGAAATAATATAAAACGAAATATCCTATCATGATTGCTATCGTGTACAGAAGATATCGGAGTGGGTAACGGTTCTGTTGCCGTAATTACATAGATTGGATTGACATGTCTAACACACAACCCCACCCCCCTCAGCCACGACCACTGAGACTTGAGTGAAACTCGGTGAACACGAGAGGAGACAAATTTGTTGACTTTTCGAAGTACGAGATAATAACTTATTTTATAACAGAGAGAGTATATAACTACTTTTGTAGGCGGCCATAAAAAATCATCAGCCTATTCGCTCGGTCGTATTCGGCTTATAAGCCATGGCTTATCGAGCAACGAATAGTATTTTTCTCTTATACTAAATCAGCCAGCGGTACTTTCAGTCATGACTTATAAGCCAAACAAACCTAAATGAACAAGCCACGTGCTTTTTTTCCCGTTGTTTGTTGTTAAATTTGGCAAATTAACAAACGCAGACACGCGCTCTTAAAGGTCCCTACGGACCACCATACCATCAACATGGTCGCACGTACACTGGACAAGTACAATCATCAGCATAATAATGGGGCAATTGGTACTGCATGATTAGATTGTAATGGTACAGTACGTCAGCTAGGGATACACGTACTACAGCGAGATACGCGTACACTAACCGGCAGGCAAATGATTTAGACTTATTTAGCTGTACTCATATTCATCTCAACCTACGCGTAGTGAGATTATGTAAAACAAACGAATTTTAACCATGATCTACGTCAATACATATATAGATTAAGATAAATACGGCCAAACAAGCTCGTAATGATCTAGCTTGTACGGAGCTAGAGATGTTAAGAGAAATTCTCCATTGGTGGTTAGATTACCATTTCATCCCCGTGAGAAGAATTTCTAAGATATAGCTCCGTTCGGCTTAACTCATATTCGGTTTGTTCGTCTTGTTTTTTCAGTCGAAACAGTATTTTTCTCTTATAATAATTCAGTCAGAACAGTGTTTTTCAGCCAAGATTTAGACCAGCGAACGGGGCTAGTAGTTTTTTTTTTTTTAAAGAAACAACGGCGTTCGGCGTTAGATGTCACTGACCTCGTGTACTAGGAGGGAGAGAAGGCTCTACTTTCAGAATTTGATTCTTTACGGCTCCATGGAAAATGTGTGTACAAGGAGCACAAATTAAACCAGAAATGTTGCATGGCTGTTATAAAGAGTGCTTTATTTTTCATATAAAAAACTCTTTCAGTCCTATTTGTTTTCCACTTTAGGTTGCGGAAAGCAAATTTTATAAAGCGCTAAAGTAACAACGAACATTTTCTCAGCTTCTACGATCTAACACGTAGACTGTCACAAAGTCACAACTACACTAGTTTTTCTTGGACCCACGTCAAGCACAGAAAGCGGTAGAAATCCATGAGTTTACGTACCCAAAAGTTCTCCGACTAGTAGAAAGACTGCACTCGTTTATTTATGAGTTTGTTGTTCCGTTCGTTCGTTCATTCATTCCGCCGTTCGTTTCTAAGACGATAAAACCGGTTGGTGCTGGTTTTTGGAGAAAAAAATATTATTGACTGGCTAATAAGTATTGACTGAAAAAAAGCGAAGATGCTGATTCTCGGAAATGGTGCCGTTGCTGGCTTTCGAATAAAAAATAAATAAAATGGGGCCACTGCTGGCCGTTCTCGTTCCGTTGCCGTTGCGGTTGCGTTCCCTGTTCCCGTACCACCGCAGGCTCTGCCCGTCCGTTGGCCGTGGCGACCGACCGACCGACGGATCCTCTGCTCCAAAGTCCTGCGGCGGTGCAGCCTGCGCTCCAAAGTCTCAACGCTCATCTGCACAACACAAGGCTTACACGTCTCGTCTCAAAGATAAACAAAACAAAAGCTTACGTTACGTCTCCAATAAAAAGAATAAAAATAAAGCCCAGAGAAAGCAGAACATGTCATGCCAAAAGAATTTTGGACAGGAATCCCCGCGTCCCGTAAGTTAACCAGTCGCTGCAATCTCGCAATCAGGCGAATCTTTAAGAGCCGACTAATGCAGGCAGCAGTGGTTAGTAACAATGCACTACTGTTGCTTGCTAATCCGATTCCTAGCAGAACCACCAGTCTGCGACTGTACTCAACTCAATGCAGTCGACTAGTTGAGGCAGCTGAGCGCCTGAGCTAGGAGTCCGGGAGAGGGAGAAGGGGGACCGAGAGGAAAGCACACAGCAGCAGGAGGCCTGCTGGTTTGCTTTGCTTGTGGATTTGAGGCCCCCGCGCGGGAAGGGAAGGAGCAGGAGCAGGAGTGCTGAGCAAAAGTTCTCCGACTAGTAGCGGCCTGTTCGATAGGCTGGCTGGTGCTGGGCTTATCAACCTAGCCGTTCGGCTGGATATAAGCCACTGGTCGTCGCCGTCTCTCCGCGCCGTCCCTCATTTTCTCCACACTCCCGTCGGTGGCTAGGGTTCCCCGCACAAGCACCGGTCGTCGCCGTCTCTCCGCGCGTGGTCTACGCCGCGTCGCCGGGCCCCGTCGGTGGCCACCGGATCCGTCCGCGCCCGCCTCTCTACGCCATACTCCTCGCCGG